AGTGTTTTCCTCCTGCCGTGAGTTTATTTATAGTCAGAGCAAAAGCTTAGATGACATGAGATACTAACTGTGTCTGGATGTTTTGGTTCAAGCCTGGAGAGATTCAGCTCTACATTAAGATGCTAATGGAGCAGCACTTTGAGTTAATTGTGTAATGATTATTAGGCTTGTGTTTGCTGGCAGAAGCGTGTAGGGAATAGGGGCAGAAGCGCAGGTTAATTGTGTCATAGGTTATTTTGGCAGGATTTTCCCTACGGCTCTGAATCATACCAGTGCCTTCATCTTTAAAATTTCTTCAGCGCTTCTTGCCAACATCAGACGCTCAGAACAAAAAATCAATATCATTATGAGTGTTTATAGACTGTTTATGTCAGTATTTTAGGTGGAGGCCAATATTTGTGTTTAAAACTACTGGGAAAAAATCTGTAAAATTATAAAAGTGTCGTCTTTAAAATATCTTCAGCACTTCTTGCTAATATCTAATGCTTCAGAACAAAAATCAATATAATTATGAGTGTTTATAGACTGTTTATGTCAGTATTTTAGTTGTAGGCCAATATTTGTGTTTAAAACTACTGGGAAAATACTGTAAAATTATAAAATTGTCATCTTTAAAATATCTTCAGCGCTTCTTGCCAACATCTAATGCTTCAAAACAAAAATCAATATCATTATGAGTGTTTATAGACTGTTTATGTCAGTATTTTAGTTGTAGGCCAATATTTGTGTTTAAAACTACTGGAAAAATACTGTAAAATTATAAAATTGTCATCTTTAAAATATCTTCAGCACTTCTTGCTAATATCTAATGCTTCAGAACAAAAATCAATATAATTATGAGTGTTTAGACTGTTTGTGTCAGTATTTTAGTTGTAGGCCAATATTTGTGTTTAAAACTACTGGAAAAATACTGTAAAATTATAAAATTGTCGTCTTTAAAATATCTTCAGCGCTTCTTGCCAACATCTAATGCTTCAAAACAAAAATCAATATAATTATGAGTGTTTATAGACAGTTTATGTCAGTATATTAGTTGTAGGCCAAAACATTATGTTTGTTTAAAACTACTAGAAAAATACTGTAAAATTATAAAAAATTGTTGTCTTTAAAATATCTTCAGTGCTTCTTGCCAGCATCTGATGCTTCAAAACAAAAATCAATATCCTTATGAGTGTTTATGTACTCTTCCTATCAGTATTTTAATTGTAGAGTGCAACAGTATATTTGTTTGTTTAAAACTACTGGGAAAAATACTGTAAATGTGTTATTATTGTTAATGTTAATATACTATATTATACTTTTATAAGTGCTATTTAAAGGGAACCTATGATGAAAAATCTACTTTTCAAGCTGTTTGGACAGACATGTGTGTAGGTATTGTGTATAAACCATCATATTGGGCTGATATAAACACACCCAGTCGTTTTTATTTCAATTTAACAACATAAAAACGGTGGACCAGTTGGGGCGGTTTTTAGATTGCAGCAATTTTGTCAATTAATA